GTCAGGTTGCACACTAAAGCTTGAAGACACTAACTAAAAAAAAAAAAAAAAAAAAAAGAGTAGGAATTAGGTTTGTCTTAATCATTTCTCCAGAAGGAAAGACCTGTAAGAATGTTTTAGGGTTTTATCTAGCAATTTCACTTGGGCTTATGAAGTCTCATTTAGAAATATGGTTAACTTTTCCTATTTAGCATGAAAGCTAAATAGGACTTTCAGATATCGCTCTAAGCTCCGAACAGCAGTACCTGACAGAGCCATGACCCTGTGGGAAACCAAATTTAATTTCCTTCCTCCCAGGGGATGTGACCAACCAGGATTGCCCTCCTTAATGCCGTATGGATAGCTTTCACCTTCTGTGACACAAGCTAACTTACCTTTCAGAGGCCCTCCTGAAGGAACACTTTGTTGAGTTGGCTACAGTTTTTAATCTGCTGGTACTCCATCCCCTCTCTCCAAACACGGTAGTTTCTAATTGTCTTTAGAAGGGAGTAAATTATTGATGATCTTCCTTAGTGCACATGATTCAAACCTGCGTATTTGCATTTAAGCTATTTTAGGACGCAGTGGAAGTATTTTTTCCCCCATCTGCGACAGGTTAAAATTACGATGTAAGTTTGAAATACGTATTGTGAAAAATCACTAATGCGTCCCCATATCCCGCATAATGGGACATCATTTGGTTATTCTGTCATCCCTATTGGGCAAAAGAACAACATTCAATTCATTTCTTTGCACCAGATTCTGAATAATGTCTTTGCAAATATACAGTGAGTTGTTTAAACAGGATGCATTTGGGAAGCTGCCTCTAGGAGCAAGGAAAGCTGACAGATGAGGAGTTGGTAGAAGCAATAAGGAGAAAGATGTCAAACCCTTCCTCCCTTCCGACCAATGGCATATGCCTTTTCCTTGAAGCCTATTCAGATACCCCTCCTTTTCTGCTTCCCCCCAGGAAAGTGGGCATGTTTATCTACGAGGGATGCTGCAGCTTTGGTCTGGGAGGGGGGTGGAGGGGGAGGACACGAAGTGCTGCTGTTGGAGCCAAGTGTCCTTCCCTACACTTGTGAGGAGTATTACTGTTAGTGCTCTGCCTTGCCAGGAGCGTGTCTGCATGGCTACGGTCACAATGACATTCGATCTAGGTCAAGTTGAAAACAGTTACTCCTAAGGAGAAGGCAGGGTCAGCACTTAAATAATTTGATCATTGGCAGCTCAGAAATTACCCTGCTCTCTTGTCGAAGAAGGAGTTTGGTTTTCGCCACACAGAAAGGAGTCAGGGCACATTCTTTTTTTTTTTTTAAGAAGTTTTTTGTTTTTTGTTTTAAGTTTATTTGTCAGAGAGAGAGGGAGAGCAAGCACAAGCAGGGGAAGCCACAGGCAGAGGGAGAAGCAGGCTCTCCGCTGAGCAGGGAGCCCGATGCGCGACTCAATCCCAGGACCCTGGGATCAGGACCTGAGCCAAAGGCAGATGCTTAAGCGACTGAGCCACCCAGGTGTCCCCGAGTCAGAGCAAATTTTAAGTAGGACAGGGCTTAGTCAGTGGAGCATGTGACTCTTGATCTCAGGGTTGTGGGTTTGAGCCCCATGTTGGGTGTGGAGATTACTCAAAAATAAAATCTTAAAAAAATTTAAGTAGGACATGAAAATAGAAATAAAGACTTTTTTGTGAATTTGTAAGGCTAACTGCTGTAACACATCTTGATCTTAATGGCCTAATTCAGCAGAACTTTCTTATTCCTATACCAGCCTGATGTGGGTACTCCTTAGCAGGTGATTCTTCCAGGTGGTGATTCGGGGACCCAGGTCCCTTACCTCTTTGCCATAATTGTTGCGGGGTTCCCAAGTTCACCTGCAGGTTGTGTGTGTGTGTGTGTGTATGAGAGAGAAAGTGAGTGTGTAAGAGTGGGTGTGTATGTATGTGGGAGGGAGAGAGAGAATGTGTGTATTATGGGTCAAGACTGCATTGCTTTTCCTCACATCCTATTGGCTAAAACTCAAATGGCGACACCCAAACTGTAAGGGAATCTGGGAGAATATATTCTGGCGGTGTCTCCTGGAAGAGGAAGGAAGCTTGTAGGCCAGTGCCCCTCCACCTTGAGCTGCATCAGAATCACCTGGAAGCAGAAAACACAGCTTTCTGGGTTCCTCCCCCAGAGTTTCAGATTCAGCAGGTCTTGAGTGGGGCCCAAGAATTTACATTTCAAAGAAGCTCCCAGGTGATGTTGATACTGCTGGAGTAGGAGCTTTAATTTGGAATAGTCCTGTCTGTGATGCATTTCTGTGTCTTGATTTATCCATGCTAATAATGAAAACCAGAAGTCTATCTTTATTATCCTGGCCTAAGGTATGGGAGGGAAGGAGACAGGTGAGATAGGTAAACAATCTTGGCCAGAATGTTAAAAATAATTACGAGTGGAAGATTTCTTAGAGGAATTGGAGTTCTGGAGGACTGGGTCCTGGGGTGTCAGGCACCCTGCTCTGTGGGAGGGGAGCGGGGGTGGGCACCTCTGCTTCTGGGAAGGGAGCTTCCAGCTTGCTGGGTTAGCTCTGTTGGAACAGGAAGGCGGGGAGAATAAAGTTTCTAAGAGAGTCCAGGAGAGGTGACTTGAGAGGTGACTTGGAGAAAGGGCCAGGGGAGGACTGGCATGACAATCAAAGGGGAGTTTATGATTGCTGGTGCAAACCAAGCCTTGCTCTTGGATTGTGAATTTCTTTGGGTCTCAGGATATCTGTAAATTGGGAATGACAATGTGTAACTCTTGGGTTGCTGTGAGAATGAATTAGATCAGAGGGTTGTAAACGTTCTTGGTTCATGGTGCTTCTACTGTGAAGAAACCCCTAAGTTTCATTTATTAAATGGTTAGTTCCAAACAACTTCATACATATTTATGTTTTAGCACCTTGGTATTTGAAAAAATAGTAATAATCATAAGTGGAAAAAAATCTGTTTAAATAATGCAATTACTTATGGATGGGATGTATGCACCTGCGGGCCCTGTGTGGCTTTCAAGCTTTGGAATCATATTGGGCATATCACTGCCTTCTTTTCCTGTTCCACATTGATGTTTGCTTCTTATCCCCGCACCTGCTGAAAACCCTACTTTGCAGAGATACGGTGTTGTTCAAAGGAATGTAGTGCAATCTAACATTGAAACTGTGAAAACAAACTGAGTTAGTACATGCATGGCGTCTGACCTGTGTTGAGTATTGCCGTATGTCCCTCAAAAACGTAAACTATTTTTTTTTTAAGATTTGATTTATTTGACAGAGAGAGACACAGCGAGAGAAGGAACACAAGCAGGGGGAGTGGGAGAGGGAGAAGCAGGCTTCCCGCGGAGCAGGGAGCCCGCTGCGGGGCTCGATCCCAGAACCCTGGGATCATGACCTGAGCCGAAGGCAGACGCCTAATGACTGAGCCACCCAGGCGCCACCAAACGTGAACTATTTTTGCAGTGCCTCTGTGAGTTCACAGTAGTGACCCAGGAGCTTTGGTGCCTGGCTTGGAAACTGGAATTTGGTGGGGTTCTCCCCGCCCCACCCTGGCTTCATTAATCCATTGAACAAAAGTTCACTGAGTATCAGTGAAGTGTCAGCACTGTGCTGGGCACTGGGAGGAGAACATACTTCTGCCTCCCGAGGGTGTAGAGTCTAGTGGGGAAACTAGATGTGGAATTAGAGGCTCCTGTGAGTATAGACTCCCATCGGGGCCGGGCTGGGCCGGGAAGGACAATTACAAGGTGCTATGAGAGCTTGTGGGAGGAATAGTTGAGTATCAGGAAGTTTCTCAAGTTGGTGGTCCTTGAGTTGTTCCCGAAGGCTGAGAAGTTAACATGGCAAGAAGGCAAAGAAGCCATAGTCTAGGTGGCAGGAATAGCATTCTGGGCAGGTGTTTTTCGAACTGTGCTGAAGGACCTCCGCCCCCTCCCCTCAGTTCCATTGTGGTTGATCCATGACTAGTGTGTAGCTTGTATGTGCCATGTGTGTTTAATGAGACCGATCCTCTGATCACGCAGTCGGGTGTTGAAGCAAAGCCAAAATTGCAAAGCTGTTGTAGACTGGGAACAGTCTGTGGGCCACACTTGGAGTAACTGTTCCAGACAGGGAGGAACAGCATGAGCCAAGGTCCTGTGGTGTGGGAGACGACTTGGGGACTCTGAGGGTGGAGAGGAGAGGCTGGTGTGAGTGGAACAGAAAACGAGAAGGCGGAAAAGTCAGCAGGGGCTGTAGTGAGCCTCTGGGCTGCAGGAAGAACTTGAGTCTCAGATGAAGACCTTTTCTTCCTGGTGCAGAAGGGGAGTTTGTTGGGGTGACTTCCTAGGCGATAGGTTGAGCGTGTAAACAGGCCAGATGTGTGGCTACAAAGACCTGTTTGAGTGCTTTAGGCAACTTGCAGCCCCTCTGCTTTTACCTTGCAACGGCATTGTGGCCTCCCAGAGTAGAGTGAGTTCTCGAAGGGCCTGCTGGAGTGTGCCAGGTGGCTGTGTGAGCACGCCCAGTTCCCTGACCGGTGACCCCTGGAGCTCGGGCTCCTTAGGGTTACCCGTGCCACCGGCAGAAAGCTCAGGGCCCAGCTTGCTGTTCCCTGCGTGTAAAACGGCCTCTCTTAGAGGCTTAGAAGGTCCAGCTGTTCCTGTGAAGTCCTACGGAGTGTGTCACCCGAGGCTGTCACCCAATACATCTGCTTGCCTTTTTTGGGGGGGGGCGGGGGGAAGGGGGTCATTTGGAGGCTTACTGTGACCTCCATGGGCACCAGGCGAGGTAATGGGCCTTACACCAAATCCGGAATGGACGTAGCCTGTGCCTAGCCTGGTGGCCCCTTATAAGCACCATTCTGGCTTAAGAGCCCAGGACTCTCCCCTTACTCACGGGCTGACTTCTGTGGGGCGCCCGGGAGGGAGGTGGGGTTTCCACCTCCCTGAATTGAGAGCCTTGGTGTTGATTTAAGCATGACTTTCCCCCTCTGCTGGAGGAGGAGGAATGATGCACTGTGTTTCTCTGCACAGGTACTTTGTGCTGGATTTTGAGGCTGGCATCCTGCAGTATTTTGTGAATGAGCAAAGCAAACACCAGAAGCCTCGGGGAGCCCTGCCTCTGTCTGGAGCCATAGTGTCCCTGAGCGATGAAGTTCCCCACATGCTGGTGGTGTACTCCGCTAACGGAGAGATGTATAAGCTGAGAGGTATGTTCTTCTAACTCTTCAGATGCAGCTCAGGGGCTGCACTCCCAGTTACCATGGCGGCGGCTCTCCTGGGTGTTTTTTTTTTTTTTTTTTTTTTAATCACCTTTAACAATTTGCTGCGTTTGACAACTCCGTGGTGACAGACAGACAGACACTGCCTCTCTTAAACCTGGGGCAGGGAGATGGAGCTGGCATTGGGAATTGCTTGTCCTAAATAACTGAGGAATTAAGGACAGATGAAAGGGGAGTGACAGTAAAGCCAGCCCAGCTTTCAGATTTCAGATTTTTCATATCAGCTCAGTGTATATTTTCTTGGACTTTACAGTATGAATCTTCATTACAATCCCCTGCGCGGCTAGGCTGTGAGGACAAAACAAACATTTCAAGGGTCAGCGCGCCTCTCCTCTGCCGCCCCCCCCGCCCCCCCCGCCCCCCCGCCCCCGAGTTTCTCTAGAACCGTCTCTTAGTAAAGGCCCCCTTCACTTATATTGTTTTTTTTTTTTTTAAAGATTTTATTTATTTATTTGAGAGAGAGAATGAGATAGAGCATGAGAGGGGGGAGGGTCAGAGGGAGAAGCAGACTCCCTGCCGAGCAGGGAGCCCGATGCGGGACTCGATCCCGGGACTCCAGGATCATGACCGGAGCCGAAGGCAGTCGCTCAACCAACTGAGCCACCCAGGCGCCCAGCCCCCTTCACTTATATTGTATTTATTCTGGTGTAGTATTAGGGCCTGGTAAGGAAGCCATCTGTTTGGTGTGGAGTTAATTTTTTTGTCTTGCTTTTTTCCCCTTCTCTTTGCTTCTTGAGAACTGAGGCCTGCTCAGCATCCTCCTGGAGGATAAATCCCCAGGAAGCCCCACACTGAGCCATGGCTATAGGTCCCGCCACCCCCAAGGCACGTCCATCGTACAGGTCTTTAGCAATGCCAGCCCCGACTGTAGCAGTATAATTGGATTGCTAGATCATTCTTCCATCGTCCCATTACAGTTGCATTGCCAGAAAAATTGTCAGTTTTCTTCAATGAAATAACAAAAACAACAATCCGGATGCCCATGTTGGTGTGTGTGCATGCATGTATGCGCACACACACACACCGAGTCAGTGTTATTAAGGTCTGAGGAAGGGTAGGACTTGCCTGTATTGAGTGTTGGGGGTTGGTTGAGGATTCTGCCTTCCTCCATTTTTCTTTGCCCAAGGAAGGGCTCAGTACAAAGAAAAGGCCCCTTGTGTCTCTCCTGGACCCCAAGGAACTGACAGTGAGAGATCAGCCTCTGCAAAGCCAGACCGAGGGCCCAGCCTCCTTGCCTCTGAGTCCAATTTTTTTTTTTTTAAAGATTTATTTATTTATTTGAGAGATCGAGAATGAGAGAGAGGACATGAGAGGGGAAAGGGTCAGAGGGAGAAGCAGGCTCCTCGCTGAGCAGGGAGCCCAATGCGGGACTTGATCCCAGGACTCCAGGATCATGACCTGAGCGGAAGGCAGTTGCTTAACCAACTGAGCCACCCAGGCGCCCCCCTCTGAGTCCAATTTTCATCATTCCACCTACAAGCTTTCCTGCCAAGAGATGGAATAAGCTAATGTTTCTTTACTATCGATATACAAGTCATATTTCACAATCTATAAAACAACCCAGAAACCTATGAAATAAAAATGCCTATCATTGAAAAAAGTTTTTCAGTTTTTGGAAACGTGGGAATATTCATGTTCTCTTTGGAGATTCATGCGGTGTGTGTTCCAGCTGGCTAGATTTATATGGTCCTTGCTTTCGTTTTGTTGTTTATTGCTTAACAAATTGTTCAGGCAGAAACAAAAAAGCAGGTGAAAAACTTAATGGCACTCCCCGCCCCCCGAGCCCCCCACCTGTGGTTTATAAAATGACACAAACCCACACAAATGAAAAAACCCGACTAATATGACAATTGAGCCATCTCATTTTTGCCTTTTAAGAGTCAGGGGTTGGTTTGTTTTTTTTTAAGGGTAGCTTTAAAACAAATACAAAAGTTTTATTATCTGCGTGACATTATCGCAAGGGCTAAATTTAGCGTAAAGTTAGGAACTGCAGAAAAGGCGGGATAAATTCTGCAGATATATGGCTGGTCCTTGGCTCATCCCAAGAGGATCTGGGTGTTGGTTTTCTCACTGCACATCTCACCTACATGTAGAATTGAATGAGTCTTGATGTCAGTAGATGCACGGCTTCTGAGAATGTTTTTGGTGCAGAGCCTTTGAATGGGACCGCCATAACCTGGCAGTTCTTCACTTTTCCTAGGGAAAAAGCCTCTCGTTTCTGCAGAATCCTTTGGAAGTCAAAGTCACCTGATCTTACGCTGGTCTGCCACTCCAGATTTGTTCACCCGAAAGTTCAAGCTGAAGTTGAGTTGTATTGACAGACAACACTGAAGCCCATTTTTGTAAACAATTATAACTTCCAGGGGAATCTTTCTGTTTCCTGCCTAGTCAATATTCATGCAGTTAAAGTTATAGTAAACTATTTATGCAGTTAGTTATGCAGTGAAATTGATGACTTAGATTTTATTAAAACCTGTTATATATCCATGATAGTTTAAGAAAATAATGTGATGTATTTGAGAGATGGGAGTGTAGATGGAAGATAATGACCATACAGTTGGCTTGTATTTTAATGTCTCTTTGGAGGAAATTTGAAGACCTCTAAAGCAGCATTTGGAATATTGTTCTGTCCAATCATAACATGAATCATTGAGGACACATATTAAAATAATTCAATTGAATGTTTATTTTGTAGATGCTAGTAAGTCCACAGTACAATTCTGGAAATGCCCAAAGGCCCTGAAAAACTATACTTTGAGCCTCTTATTTGCCACACATGTAGAGGTGCTTAAAAATAATCATGTTTTACCTTCCCTGCTTTTTATTTTTATTTTATTTTTTTAAGGGTTTATTTATTTATGAGAGAGAGTTGGGGAGAGGGGGTAGAGGGAGATGGAAAGGGAGAGAGAATCTCCAGCAGCCTCCCTGCTGAGTGCAGGGCCCCACGTGGGGCTCGATCTCAGGGTCCTGCACTACTCGGGAGCCCCTCTGCTGCCTTTTTTTTTTTTTTTAAAGATTATTTATTTATTTATTTGAGAGAGAATGAGAGACAGAGAGCATGAGAGGGAGGAGGGTCAGAGGGAGAAGCAGACTCCCCGCCGAGCAGGGAGCCCGATGCGGGACTCGATCCCGGGACTCCAGGATCATGACCTGAGCCGAAGGCAGTCGCTTAATCAACTGAACCACCCAGGCACCCCCCCTGCTGCCTTTTTAAAGAAGTAGAAATGATGGGGCTCCTGAGTGGCTCAGTAGGTTAAGCAGCTGCCTTTGGCTCAGGTCATGGTCTCCGGGTCCTGGGTCCTGCTCAGCGGGAAGCCTGCTTGTCCCTCTCCCTCTGTTTCCTGGCTTGTGTTCTCACTCTTTCTCTGTCCAATAAATAAATAAAATCGTTAAAAAAAAAAAAAGTAGAAATGACTTTTTTCAGAGGAGGTTAAAAAAAAGGGCAAAAATTGTTCTTATAACAGACATTTCAGAGTATGTTTTTAATGTGGTTTAAGAGGGAATTTTCTGTTGAGATTTAGTGTAATTTGTGTATATGTGTGTGTGTGTGTGTGTGTGTGTGTGTGTGTGTGAGAACACAGGCTGCTTGAGAATATTGTGATCTGCCTTTGTTTTCCCCTTTGTTCTCTCTCTCCCTCACTCCCTGGGCCCCCCACCCCCATAAGTGGGTGTAGAAATAGGTTAAATATGTTTTGAAACCATCTCTGCAAGCGTTTCTTTCTCTATTTTAGCTGCCGATGCAAAGGAGAAACAGTTTTGGGTGACTCAGCTTCGAGCTTGTGCCAAATATCACATGGAAACGAGTTCTAAGGTAAGTAACCATGGGGAAGCAAGGAGACACTGGAGTAATTTGGAGAGCTACCCTTCAGCCCAATTATCTGTTTCTTTGGGGAGGCTGTTTCTCCTGTCATTTTTGAAGTTACCCACTGTATTGGAATTCATATTGCCCTGCTGCATTGAAATCTAAAACCAAGAGGAAAGTAGGAGGATTAGCTTGTAGGTAGAATGAAGAGGCCTGCAGACACCTCATTGGAACTGATTCTGGGAAGACCCTTCTATGGCTTCACGTGTTGTCAATTTAGGCTGCTGTTAATGTCTGTTGAGAAACTTGAGTGGATGATTTCACTGTGGAGGCAGAGGGAATTTGATTTACTGTTCACGAGAGACTAGTTGTCGTCAGTGGTCCTTAAATAAAACATAGACCCCAAATTGATGAAATATCCTGCAGGGAACTTCAGCATTCCAAGTATAGAAATGTTCTCAGGTAATTTGGCATCTAAGTTATGAATTCTTTTTTCCTCAGGATTCGGTAGGAGGTCTTAGATCAGATACGTGGGAGATAGGAGGTAGGCATTTTCATGGATTATTCGGAGGATTTCCTAGCATTAGAATACGGGAAATAATTGCAAAGTAAATTTATTCATGGCAATAAATATTTGTTGAAATCAGTGCTCAAAGGACTACCCCTTTTATATCATTAATTCTAATTTAAGTACGGTACCCGATTGGAGTATTTTTCCACATTCTATGCATCCAGTAGAAAGACCCACATATGAAACTTCTGGGGGCGCCTGGGTGGTTCAGTCAGTTAAGTGTCTGCCTTCGGCTCAGGTCATGATCCCGGGGTCCTGGGATCAAGGCCACATTGGGCTCCCTGCTCAGTGGGGAGTCTGCTTCTCCGTCTCCCTCTGCCTGCTACTCTATCTACTTGTGCTCTCTGTCTGTCTGTCTGTCTGTCAAATAAATAAATAAAATCTTTAAAAAAGAAAAAGAAAGAAAGAAAAAAAAGAAACTTCTGATGATTTTAATCCTATAGCCAGTCAGCTGTCTTGCTCAAGGCCATGGGAAATGCCTTGCTTAGGTATACCTCCCTGTTCTGCCTCCAAGTACGATCTGAACTGATTTCTTCATAATGATCTTGTTCACTGTTAATTTTTTTTTTCTTTTGAGACCTCTTTTCCTTGACTTGCTTACTACTGTTTTGCTCTCACCCCTTTTGACTTCCCCACGCAGAATCTGGGTTTACCATAGGTAGGGCCCTACTTCTAAAGCTTTTTTCTCTTTGCCTTGCTTTGTTTTCTAGGAATTATGGTAGGAGTCCTGGACATTTCATCAGTATTTTATAAACTCCTAGGCAGGGCAGTTAAAATTTTTCTTTTTATATGTATCTTTTTACTTTTTTATAAAACAGAAGGGCCTAAAATAAAAAGGACAGATCTCCCAACATGGTAATGTATGCTCATTAGAGATAATTGCACTTGACAGTTCTTGTACATCATTCAAGTAGATTTAGGCATGTGTTAGGATGTATGTATATGTGTGTTTGTGTTTTTTACACGGATGGGATCTTTTCATGCATACAGTCCCTTCCCCCCTTTTTAAAAGGTACTTTGGAAGTCTTATTAGATATATGGGATCTAATAATGGATGTCTGCTTTATTTAAGTCCTCTACTGACAGACATTTAGGTTGTTAGACATAATGCTATAGTGAACATCTTTGTATATATATCTTTTTGTCCCTCTAGGTGTACATAGAAAGTTATATCACTGGACTTGTAGGTCACAGACTCTGTGTCTGCTATATTTTCCTAGACATTGCTAAATTGTCTTCTAAAAAAAATTCTCCTAATTTGTTCTGCTACCAATTTTGTGTGTAAAGATGCATTTCCCCCTCTAACTGTGGCTCTTCTAATGTTTAGCTTTTGATAGTCTCATGGATAAAAAATTAATCCCCCGTGATTTTCATTTTCACTTCTAAAGTCATGACAGGGGTTGAGTATGTTTTCAAATGTTGATCATCACATGTATTTCTTTGATGTGATCTGCCAATTTTTATCCTTCATCCTTTTATCCTTTTTCTATCGAGTTCTTTTTTTCTCCTTGATTTGCACTTAGCTATGTGTGAATTGAGCATATTTGTCCTTTGCCTGTTATTTGTATTATAGATGTTTTCTCCTGGTAGGTCACCTGTATTTTGACTTGGGGTACATTTTTTGCTATGTAGGATATTTAATTTTTGCTGTCAAATTTATGAATATTTTCATTTTTGGCTTTTGGTATTACATCATGCCTAACAAAGGCTTCTTTGTTCTAAAATAATGAGATTTCCAGTGTTTTCCTCCAGTGAATTTATAGTTTAATTATTGTGTTTCAATCATTGGTTCATCTGGAATTTATTTTGGATGTAAGAATTGAGGTCAGGAAACCAACTTGAAGTGCACTGATGTTTTAATGAATCACTGGAGACTGGGAAAGGTAAGGACCTCTTCATGGTAGTAAGAAATAGGAAGAGAATTTAAAGATTCTCTGAAGGAGAATCTGATTTACTGATGTGTTCTCTGGGTAGTTTTGAGAATACAGATTAACCTGTTAATGCAGAACCCAAATAAATAATAATTTAGGTGGCAGGGCCTGTAGGATTTCCTATTTGAGACTGCAAGTGGAATTGCTGACCATCCCTCATTTATAGCGTAGCTACTGTGATCCCCTAGGGAATAATGATTTTTACATTGTGAACAGACCCGGTTGTTCAGCAGAGGCGTTATGAAGTCCAAGGCCGCTTAGGCAAAAGCTAGTAGTGAAAATGAAGTTGGGCTTAACATGACTCTGATCCCAATGTCCAGTTAACTGTAGGGTGGCTATTTACTTTGCATCATGGCTATTAAGAATATATGTGGGGGCGCCTGGGTGGCTCAGTCGTTAAGCGTCTGCCTTCGGCTCAGGTCATGATCCCAGGGTCCTGGGATCGAGCCCCACATCGGGCTCCTTGCTCGGCGGGAAGCCTGCTTCTCCCTCTCCCACTCCCCCTGCTGTGTTCCCTCTCTCACTGTCTCTCTCTGTCAAATAAATAAAATCTTAAAAAAAAAAAAAAAAAAAAAAAAAAAAGAATATATGTGGAGCCTTCTCTTTACTCTGTTCTCCTTCACGCTCAGCAGGTCAGATCCCTCTCCTGTAGATTCTAGAGAATATTCTCTCTGTGATTGCTTGGAAGTTTGTCTTTTTGAAAACTTTTTATTTAAAATCAAGTGTTCCCTGGAGCAAGTATGAGGCAGATGGGATGGTGCTATCATTCTAACTCCCCTTAGTGAGAACTGCAGGATAAGCATATTCATCGAGCCCGCAGAGGGCTTCACGGAGGACCCGTCCAGCAGTTCTGAAACCCAGACCTGTCTCAGTCAGTACCCGAGGAGGTTTTCCCCAGTCTTGAAGTGAAATGAAAAAAACATTCCCTAAATGTGCCTGAAGTCAGCTTAGTCAATATAAAGGATGGCTCTTTATTCAGAAATTATATTGCTTTGCTTTTTGAGGGTTAAAATACTTTTTATTGTAGAAGACACAGAGTATTTATGGACTCATTGATTGCCTTTTTTTTTTTAAATGTACGTTTACTGAGGTATAATTTACATAAAGTAAAATTCACCCCTTTTAAGTGTGAAGTTTATTTTTTGATGGATGCATGCAATCATGTAACCATCACCACAGTTACCATTCTGTTGCCCCCAAAAGTTCCCTCTCTACCCTGTTGTGGTTGATCCCCTCCCCCTCAGCTCCAGGCAAACACCCATCCATATTCTGTGTGTAGTTTTGTTTCTTCTAGAATGTTCTACAAACTGAATTATATAGCTTTTTGCATCAGACTTCTTTCACTTAGAATAATGCTTTTTTTTTTTTTTTACGGCCAAACTTCCTTCTTTTATTAGATTTTCGGTAGAAACACCAACCATGTCAGAATTTCCCAGGGTCCTGGGATCGAGCCCCGCATCGGGCTCCGCAGGAAGCCTGCTTTTCCCTCTCCTACTCCCCCTGCTTGTGTTCCCTCTCTTGCTGTGTCTCTCTCTGTCAAATAAATAAATAAAATCTTAAAAAAAAAGATTTCTAGACTCATTCCCAGATTAAAAAAAAAAAGTACTGGTTTTTGAAACCTAAGTGTCTGGCTACCTAGTCAAGCCCTTGTGGTTTCCATGTGGGGAAGCACCAGCTGGGAGGGTGGTGGAGCCAAGGCTCGAGCTCAGGTCTCTGGTTTCCTGCTCTTAACCTCACACATATCAGCCAGGTCTGCCTTCTTTCCCTCCATGGGTGATGAGGCCCCTTTCGGACAGTTTCTGCTTCTAGATGGACAGAAACTGCCAAAGACCGAGAATCCCCTTTTCTTGACGTCACTTAAGTTTATCCTGTGGCCTTTAGTTGTTATTCGAGGTGCAGCTGCAAGGGTGTGAGGTGGGTCATCTAGGAAGACTAGAACCCTGACGTTCTCTGAAAACACAAACAACAAAACAAAACATCTTATTTTTAATGCAGTATAAAAATTCAGGCAGCATAAAGCCCTGACTGGAAAAGGGTTAAGAGAGAGCTGTAGCGAACTGTCCTTGTGAGAATTTACTAGTGCATGACTTTGAAGTATCGAATGTAGGAGTGGGTGTCTAGTTTTTATCAAGGAGGTGGTGTTTAGTAACCCTTAGGATGGGGGCATAGTGGTATTCTGGGGACCACGATAAGCACTGAGAAAGGAACCATCTGTTGACAGAGTTAATAGCGTTTAATACCTTCTATGTGAGTGACCATCACTCAGGATCACGCTACCTTACACAGAGGTCCTGTCTCCATGTTGACAAATTAGAAAGCTGAGGCCAGTGGAACCTCAATGATAGGCTCAGTGTCACGTAGCCATTAAGTCAGTGGATGGGAACGAGAGCCCGAGTTGCTAAACATGCCCCCTCCCCCTCATCCCTCCTCTTGGTTTCCTGGCAAGGAGCTGTGGGAAGGTTCGGGATGGTTTTCCCCTGCCATGAACTTTATATTTTATAACGTAG